GCGGACGGCGGCAGCGACACAGGTGTCAGTGAAATAAGACTCAGACGCATTGCCACAGCCGGCATCGGCAGGCTGCGCACAAGACAAAGGACGGCACAGTATGAGAGACATGAGTCAGAATTCCCAGGCTCTGAAGATGGGTAGACGAAACAACTACCCAAAACGCCAGACACGTAACTAACCTTTTAAGGTGAACGCCCCTTCTTTTTCTTTTAAAATACCACCAGGGAATCACTCCTTCACTACTATTGAAATGTGATTTACCATACTGATGGGACGTGGCATCCCGAAATTCTTCTGGAAAGGAGCCTCACACAGCATCCTGGGGGTAACACTCGGCGCGAATCCGAGGTTCAACTATTCAATACGGTCTGACAGTCATTATTTCCTGTTTGTTTTTTTTTTCACGTCCAATAACTGTCCACATGAACAGACTTTTAAGTTACTGATTTATAATAAGGGGGTCGAGGAAAAAAACGGGTTGTACGGAGAATTTTGTGATCATTCTGATAAAACAGTCAGTTAGATCCTTCCAGGACAAACCTTGTTTTCCCACTCAAAGTCGGACCACATTTGACGGAATTCAGAATTGGAGCAGGTGGCCGGTTGAATGTATTCCAGGATGTCGATATGAATATCGGAGAGAACTATGTAATTGGATTCTCCAGCAGAACCGCGAATATCATAGACTATGTTCCCAAAAATGATGCCATTTTCGGTGGAGGAGACCTAAAAGAAAGGACGTGTTGATAAGACCCGAGGATATTACAAAAACATCGGAGTACTAACGCGGAGAATAGTTTGTCAAAAAGAATCACCTTTATGTTGGCACAGATGTTGGCAAAGTCCTGGGCAGCCAGAGTCAGAGGTCGGGGTTTCTCAACCAACTTTAAGTCGCCCAGAGTGGAAAGTTCGAGGGTCAGGTTCTGCAGGGTGTCGTTTGTCTGATTCACCAACAGCACATCCAGAGCAATATCAAACTGATTGACACTCACAAAGGCTTCAGCGTAAACCGGATCCGAAAAACCGGTCAGTTGATGAATCTGAAATTGAAACGTTGAAAAGAGTTGCCAGAATACAAAAAGCAAGCAGACACCGAAATTGCTAAATGGGTGTGGTGCACTATTTCTTAATAAAATTAAGAAAATGATTTTAAAGTCCCTGCTGAAGACATGACAATTGAGCATTAAAATTCACAACATTTGCGCTACTAACCAATCTTTAGTAGGCTTGTTATTATGTATAAAAGTGAGTGGTTGTGTAGGCAGTAGTAAGCACTTACAGCATGGATAAAGCATGGGTTTGGCGTAAAAGTACTCCCCATCTATTACAGCGGCACTATTCGGGCAAATATACGTGTATTTAAAGTTTGTCAGTGCAACAGAATACGAACAAAAACTGGGAGAGCTAGATCACCACTGTCTGAGAAGTCTCCTACGGGTCAAGAATATTAAATTCGTCTGACATGCAACGAGTAACACTAGCGCAAGCAACGCGATGAAAGCTCGAGTCATAAAGGAAAGAAAACTTGGATGATTCGGGCAGCGTTCTTTGTCATTCACCCTCAGAACTCAGAGTCGCTGCGCAGATCCGACGCCGCTGCTCACCTAGAGGCGATGAAGAGGTCAACTAAAAACCAGGCTTAATAGACCACCATAAAATGGAGGTGGTTATTGGACCGAATGTTCTCTCTAGCTCGGGAAGAGGGTGGGTTGAGCTCTCCAGATCGGTTGTGGCAGATTATCACGAGTAAGCAGATGCGGACACTGTCTTGTCAAAAGCGCTCGGACCGGGCTTGATTACAGCGGTACCGTGGGACTCAAGCAGTATGTCAGTCCAAACTTTTGTTCAAAATAAGGTTGCAACGAACATGGAAGTTTAGAAAATCAATGAAAAAAAAACTGTGAAGCGGTTAGACAAAAAGACTACCTTTTTAAGTTTAGAGGTCGCGTAGGCATCGCCTGGTTTGGCGGCAGATCCCAGTGCCTGACTGAGTGTCAGGGCAAAGTGATCAACCTGCTCGTTGGGGTCGGCTGCAGCGGAAAGAAGAGTGAAGTCAACACCGGCATCGACTGTCTTCTCGGAGGCTTCATCGCCAACCTGTTGTTGTTGCTTCTTCTTGGCATTCGCCTTCTGCTCTGCCTCCTGTGTGTCCAGCAGTTCACCGAGGGTGTCGTGGCCAAGTCTTTCGACCGCAGCAATAACATCCGCCCGGGCCTCTGCAATCGCCTTTAAGAGGAAGAAAGATTACAGGAGACTTAGCTACGACCTAAATCGATAAAAACGTAGCAATTGTGTCAAAAAACAACCCACAGACGTCGCCCACGTCAATTAAAAGCTAGGCACTGGTTGCTGAGGCTTAAGTGGTAACTGCGTAAGATGTTTAGGAGTCATAGATACCGCGAGTTCGAAGTGTCTGTTAGTATTGAGGACAGAGGGAAATGAGTTGGTCGTTGGCAACATAGCTCGTATTGTTTTTTTTTCCTGTTCTTCACGGTTTTCTCTGACATCTTGCGCTCCCTTAGCTTTTAAGTTTGCCGTATATCCATTTTCTGCGTTTTTTGATGGCGACCGGTCCTGTTCAAGGGTCTTCCAGGACTATAATTTGATGTAAATACTGTAATCTTTTTTGTACGGGCCCTATCAAACATATTCGCATCCAGGAAGGGCCATTTCTTGCTTATTAGCAGTCATCAGCCAGCCATTTCCAATCACAGGTGTGGATGACACGCAGTTCGAACCTGCGACATTCGGTCATTGGATGCAACATTATCCCAGTGTACCACAGGCCGTTGTTTGTGTCGGTTGCGATCGGGAACCTGACCGGCTGATGATGGCCAATAAGCCGGAAATGGCCACTCCAGTCACCCTTGCCTTTGTCGGTTCCACTTTATCATATGTCACAGGTCGTGATGCGACTGTTTACGAGGGCTCTAGATTGAGCTCCAAGGCACAACGGAAGGATAATATTCCGTAAGCAAATCGGTGTGCGCCCCACTATTATCCTATTGGCATTCACTGCAGCAAAAGAACGAGACTACGTCGAGGGATAGTGCCAAGACCGACAACCACCATGATATACGCCTGCGTTGCCTGGGAACCACAGCAGACGCGTCTTCTTCGCGTTCCCACCCACCCTCACGGCGGCCAAGGTCCGCTACACCATTCTCCCTACGGTGGATCTATCTCCCTTCCTCTCCATCTCTGTTTTTAATGACGGAGCAGCCCCCGACCACGCTACTCCGACTCCCCCTCCTCACCGCCGGGATTGAGGCCAATCTGGTGGGACTCCTGATCCAACAAGGGCTACTAGCCAGCCAGCCTGTGTTGCCTTGGATAAACTACCCTGTGTTTGATTTAACACAACAAGTACTGCCTTTAGAAAATCCAACGCGACTGGCTCTGATGTTTGGTCCGAACGAGAAACCCTAAATTGTAGGCCTATAAAGAGCATGTTTCAGTGATCTCATCCCCTCTTTCTTCTGAATTGTATAGTAATTGCTGACTGCCCCAGAAGTTATGCGGTTCCCACCAACCAAACAGGAGCACACCACACCCGACTGGTCACCCTCGTGGCCCCAAAATGAGCTACAATGGATGGAGCATTCGACGAGAGACAGCTCCAATATCTGCTGCTAAACAAGCTGTTTGTGCTTAGCTGTCAGACCTGGTAGGTTGAGCGGTGAGGGAGTACACACCACAAAGAGAGGCACCGAGGACAGTTCGGTGTGAGTCTGTGGGGAAGTACGGACGGTTGCAAGAGCTAAACGCAAAAGGGGACAAATGAAGTAAGCAAAAAGGGAAGGAGTAGTAAACAACATACAACCAAGCAGAGCCACATCCGTTCAATGACATCAGGGTCAGTACGATGAGGGATGAGGCCGCTGCGGGCCAGATGGACCATGCTCGAAATTATGAGAAGACATTCCGCAGCGAATTTATTCTTTCGGCGCTGGAATTCGGCCGTGGTAGACAGGAGTGTCTCGTTCAAACTCTCCAAATAGCGACAGAAAATTTTGACCAGGGACACTGAGAGTGCAATTCCGCTCATGAAGGAGTTGGCAAACAGGGCAGCCTGGATAACGGGGCGTTTTAGGGCGGCCTGCTGATTGCTCAGGGTAGACCCTAGTGGAAGAAAAGGTGGGATTACAGGACGTGGTAGATGACTCAGCATGGCAAAAGCGGGAGAATTTTTGATCGGAGTCGAGTGAAAAGGTGATATTCCGTTGCTCTCGGAAACACAGGTACAGGAAGGAACTGCGATTTTCAAAAGGGAGAATACTATGATTTTTAAAATAACCCAATTTTAACTTTAAAATGCCCGCAGGTAAACAAAAAATGCCCATGTCATCCGAAAGTTACTGCCATTTTTGTACTAACTGGCATAGACGCAGGCATTTTCTCCGTTGTACAGA